GTCTGGTTTTATGTCTGATGCATAAAGTGCCTTTATGCACAAACACACTACTAAACATATGCATATGAGAGCTGTGACATTTTGTTTGTAATGTTAGATAAAAAAACTGCATATAAAAATTAAATGAAGCTTATCAGTTAAAAATAAAGAAAAAGAATTTTAGCCTAATTTACTTATTATATAATATCATAACTATAAATTTCAATCCCTTTACTAAATTACCCCTTCCCATTTATTTGACTTTGGTTTGATTATCATGTTTAAGTTTAGATTACAATTTATACCAAGTTATAAAAGTTATTTGATTTCTCAACACAATGTACTAGTTGATTTTGTATTAAAAATATTATTATGTAATAAACAATCAGTATAAACATTGTATTTTTTTCAGATATTTCCACAATATTACTAAAAAACATCATAAACACATGCTACATTAATTCTTTGTAAAAGATAAGCAAGTGGAACCATATGCTACATTTTAGAAATATTTACATTAATATACTTATTATTAAATAACATCCATCTCATCTGTAAAGTAGTTAATGATTGTGGTATAAAAAAACAGTGGTTTCTGAGATTGTAAAACAGCATAACATTCTTTTAATTTGAACTTTATGCAATGTAATACAATTGTATCATTTGAAATGTATTGAAAATGTATTCCTTTGATATTTTGGCTACACAAATCATACATTTTCTTAAGTGAATTAAATCTGTTCATGATTGTAAACTGACCCTTGTTACAAGTCTTTTGACAGAACCCCAAACGCTATCACAAGCACTCTTTCCATGTAATGTAGCAAAGAAATGCCATTCTGTAGATACCTCTAGATCTTGTTCATGATGACATAAGTTAGATATGTTTTTTATAATTTTTGTATTGCTAACCTGCACTATCACTAAAATAAATACAATGATTATAGTACGGCATCAACTCTTTTAAATGTTTTATTGCTTCATAAATCAAGCAATTAACTGAGTTTGTCTTGTGTTGCAAATTATATGAAATGGTACAAACACATTTAAATTATTTTCTTCCATAAAGTAAATAACAAAGGATACAATGTTGATTAACTGTTGTTCCGATGGAAACCTTGTACTGCATTTTGAATCAAAAAACTGAGATTTTCAGCAAAATCTAGTAATGCTAAAATATGATTACTTGGTAATGTTATTTTTAGATGCTGCAAAAATGCTGAAATATTTTTGGCTATATAGTGAAGGTCTCTTAATTGATCTATTTGGTGACAAGCTTTTTCAATAAAATCATTCATTGGCTTGTTGGCTTTTTACCACTGATTAAAAGTGATTTCTTCTATGCTGTGTTCATCAAACAAAGTACTCTTTTAGTGTGTTTGTATCTGGGCAGTTATTGCAACGATGTAGCATGCAGTCTTGATTTGTCAAGAATGTCTTTATAATCTATCCTGGTTTTTTTAATGCTAAAAGTTTTGCATTCTGGTGTTAGTCACAAACACATGCTGAGTGGAGACCTGAAGCACCTTTAATAGTAATATACCTCTCAAATCTAAGTTCACAAAACTTAAAAAATCTTAATGTCAAAAGAAATTTTATTAAACTCTAAATAAAATTCTTTGATATTAACTAATAGAAGTTTTTTAAATGTTGTCATCAACTTTATTATCAACTGAGACATTGTTGTCTTTATCATCAACTTGGATTGAGACTATTTTATATCTATTCAAGAGTATAGATCTTCCTTCTTTTCAAGAGGGTTCTGCCATTATGCCATGCATTTGTATCAAATACATTGCAGTTTTTTTCATTTTTACTTTAGTTTTTATTATATATTGTAATACAAAATATGTATATATTTTAAATGAAAATTTTAATTCAAGCATTAGTAGTCTAGGTTTTCACCTCTAAAACTTATAGCTCATAAATACAGGTTCAGCTATGCAAAAAGAAAGGTTAATAAAGTTTATAATGTAACCAAAAAGAAAATTGCAACTGTTTTAGGAGTTTCTCTGGATTTAAATATAGACGAGCCAAAAGCAAAAGAGCTGCGTTGAGAAAGCAAACAAGACCTGGACTCACCAATCAATTAAAGCAAAGTTTTTCTTATTTTTAGAGAAGTAGAAAAATAGTAAATAAACATATTTTGAAAAAAATTGAAGAAACATCAAATTTTGTGCCCCCTCCTCCCCACACCTTTTTTCTAAAGGAATTTATTTTTTTTGGAGAAAATTCTAGATATAGAGAACTTTTTTTAGAAACTGACAATTGTGCCCCCCCCCTCCCACTTCGAAATCCGTGTCGGCCCTGCATATTTCATTAATTGTTATATATATATATATATATATATATATATATATATATATATATATATATATATATATATATATATATATAACAATTAATATAATAATAATGTGTAACAATTAATAATGTGAAAATTGTTGCTAAAGATGCAAATCCTCCAAATCGTACTGAAGAGCACAAGATTGAAGATTTTTGGGCAAGAGTTAGCGCAAGATTGAAGATTTTTGGGCAATAGTTAAAGGAGTTCTTCTTAAGACAGGTGGACTAACAAATAATAAAAAGGACTTGCAAAAAATGTGGATTAATGCCACCAATATGGTGAAAAAAGAAAAAATCTGTAAAATGATGGCATCAACCCGCTATAAAGTTTGATTTCTTGCCAAACAACCCATCAAGCCCCTTAAAAATAAGTTAAAACTCTAATATATGTAAACACATTTAATAATAAAAAAATTGAAATAAAAAACATTTATGGTTTTAGAGAAATCTCAATTTAAAGTTGACCAGATTTTTCCGTGTCCACCCGATATAATATAAAATAAATAAATAAAAATAACAAAAATTAATATAAAAAATAAGTTTGTGTGTGTGTATGTTTATATATGTGTATATATATGTATGTGTAAATATATGTGTATATATATATATATATATATATATATATATATATATATATATATATATATATATATATATATATATATATATATATATATATATATATAGATATAGATATAGATATATTACATACATTACTGTATTACATACATATTTCATGAGTTATTATATATTTTTATTCTATAATCTTCAATAGGCAGTTAAAAGCTTTGTAGCATACAAGTTTACAAATGAAAATCCTGTTGAATGCCAGATAATGAATGAACTTGCACGCATTTTTGTGCGGTGTTTAAACCATTGGAAGTTAGAGACACCTACAGCTCGAAAGCAGAGGCTAGAAACAGTTTCTCTTCTAAATAATAAAGTTAACATATTAGATAATGAACTTTTTGAAAGTAATACCAATGCTGATATTTCATCATATAAAGTTGATTATACAAGGTAAGATGTCTTGGGAATCTTGCTTTTTATGTTTAATTTTTTAGTTTTACTAATGTTTAAAGTGATAAATTTTCACTAAATTGTAGCAAATAAAAAGATGCTCTCTGATATTTTTTATAATTAAAATAAAGCTTTTAAAATGATATTTTCTTTAAATAGCAAATAATTTAGGCTTCATACTGTATTAGGCTAACAATTTTTATTATTGACTATAAAGATGATTTGTTTTGATTTCAAGATGTTTTTAAATTTCATTCAAGTTTAATTTTCAAAAACATTGACTTTCAAATTGAAATAAACATTAATTTAAAATAGTGGATTTTCTTGATGTCACATTTAACCTTTCGGAAAATTCTTATAGGCCTTATAAAAAGCCTTATGATGAATTATCGTATATTAATATAAATTCAAACCATCCCCCCAAATCTTAAAACAAATTCCTATTTCAATTAACAATAGACTAAATAAAAACTCTTCTAGTGGAAATATTTTTAATTCTTCCAAACGTGTGAATCAAGATGCAAAAAAAGCGGATTTAAAAATTTCAAGCTAAAGTTTGAGATAAAAATTGAAAAAAAGCAAAACAGAAATAGAAATATTATTTGGCTCAACATTCTGTTTAGCAAAAGTGTTTCAACAAATATTGGAAAACGGGTTTTAAAATTAGTAGTCAAACATTTCCCTACTTCTAATAAAATACACAAACATTTTAACAGAAACACTATTAAAGTAAGCTATAGCTGTACAAAAAATGTTGAAAGAAATATAAAAGGCCTCAATTTTGCATTGATTAATAAAAATGAATTTCTTAAAGTAAAAAATACTGAAAACTGTAATTGCAAGCAAAAGTTTGACTGCCCTATGAATAGTAAATGCTTATTAAAAAATATTATTTACAATAGCATTGTTTCCTCACTAAACAACCCTGATAAACAATATATTAGCTTAACCAAAGGCGAATGGAAAAAATGTTATGCCAACCACAAACAATCTTTTAAACATAAAAAATACTCAAAAGAGACTATGCTGTCAAAATATATTTAGCAATTAAAAGAAAAAAGTATTTGAAATTAAACTGGTCTATTCTAAAAATTGTGGCTGCCTATAAATAACATTTCCGAAAAATGTATATCATGTTTACAAAAAAATTTGAAATTATTATTCATTTGGATAATGAAAATTTACAAAATAAAAAATCTGACTTAATTTCTAAATGCAGATATGAAAATAAGTACCTTTTAAAAAATTATAAAAAAAAATGGCCAGACTAAATTTATCTTAATGCTAAAGAATTCTTTTCATGATTAATTTTTTAATTTTAATAGTAGTAATTTTAATAGTTTAAATTTAATTGTAGTTGATGCAACTCCCTGGTTACAAAATAACTACAGTTATTACATAATTAATTATAACAATTCCCAACTTTCAGTGAAATGTTTTTACTATAATTTGAATTTTTTAATGTTTAGACATTCTTCTTGATAAACCCACTGATGGTGAAACAACTTGTTGAAGAAAATTAGAAAAGTGTTTTTACTAATTTATATTATGTGTATTCTACAAATAGAGTTCTGGATGTTCTTAATGAACAGAGCAATAATAAATTAGTAAAAACATTTATCTATTTTTGTCTTTGACAGGCTGTTTCTTCTTTCTGTAGGTTCATCAGGAGAAATATTTCTATATTTCAAAAAGTTCCAAATTTGGGAATTGTTATAATTAGTTATATAATAAATGTAGTTATTTTGCAACCAGGAAGTTACATTAAGTTTTTTTGAAACTTTGAAGTTTTATAAAGATTATAAACATATGTAACGTAACGATATTATACACTTTCACAAAAGAAAAGATTTTAAAAAAGCTAAAAAAAAAACATCACCGAGAGAAAAAATTTGTTGCATATGTACGATAATTGAGAACTTATGTTATTAATGTGCTCAGGTAATTAGTCCTAATAAGCTGCGGATGGTCTGAAAAAAAAGTTGTCTGAAACTTAATAAAGAAAAAACTATATTAAATAAATAAGAAAGTCCTGCTACTCAAGAAGGTACTGCTGTGGAGACAAAAAAAAGCCCCTAGCAAGAAAAAAATTTAAAAGCTTTTTTTGCTACATTTTTTTTTTACTATAAATATATGCTGCAGCTGTTTTTCAAAATGCCTTAATATGCTTATTACATATTTCGAGAAAAATGCAATTAAAAAAAAATTAAAAATTAACTCTTTGTTAAACGTTTTTTGAAACAAATAATTTTAATGAATTTTGTTCAGAACTCTTTGAAAATATGTATTCAATAATGTTTGTAGACATAAACTAACTTATTTTGTAAAAAAGTCAAAAATGATATTTTTAACCTTTAGGTGTTTTAAAAAACGGTTGCAGTATGGATGATACAACGAATATAATGAGAATATTTGAAATAAAATATTCTCATTATATTTGTTGTATCATCCATATAGAAATAAAATGAGATAATTTGACGCAAAATTTAAAAGCTCTTAACAAAAGCCACTAAACCAAAAAAATTAAATATAATTGCTTAAAAATTTTTTTATAGTGAAAATTTTTATTTTAGTGAATATAATAATTGTAGTTCAAAGTTTTATTATAGCACTTAAAATTTTTTTTATAGTGCATTGGTTTTTGCAAAGAAACACTATATAAATCATTTTTTAATTTTAATAACGACTAATTTTTTTTTAACTTTGTTGCGCTTAACCGTCTCTATATAAACAATGTATATATAAACATATATGCTATTTGTTTATATAAATATTGTTTATAAAATGTAAAAAATCCACTTATATAAAGTTTTATTCAGGATTGTATGTAATATAAGTAAACTTTTCTAATAATTACAAGTCTTTTTTGCTCAAGCTGTTTTGTTTGGATTTTTTGTAGTTATGTTAATATATTAAAAAAAATTATTGTCACTTCTGAGCGAAAAATTTGAAACTTCAATTTTAGATTTGCTCCTCTCTCGATAATTTCTGATTTCTAAAGTTATGTCATTTGCTTCTTAGACCTTTAAAAATGATAGTCATAATCATTTTTAAAGATCATTTCATAAGATTTTATTTCAATTTTTTATAAAAACTCTATCTATTAAAGATATATGGAATATATTTTTATGGGATATATTCTAATAAAGACAAAAGGGGCCATCCATAAAGGACGTCATCCAAATAGAGAGAGGGGGAGGGTTTCGAAATAAAAAGGACAAAAAAGAACAAGGAGAGAGGAGTATGTCAGAAAAGGATGTCACTTTATAGATTTTTTATTTTAGTTTAATTAACATGAAAAAATATGTAAATATGTGTTTTTAGAAGATAATGTTTAAGAATACTATTAATTTTATTTTTCAAAGGTGTAGCAGTAGATTCAAACATCATTGGGAGATCAAATAATTTTTTGGGCAGGATTTTATGGCGTCCTTTTCAAGAGGGTATAGGGAAAAAGAACAACGGGTGATAAAGGAGGGAGGAGGTCAAAAATTGGTTTAAAATGATGACGTTCTTTACGGATGGCTCCAAAACTATTTATTTATTACTATTGTAATAAATACTATCTCTTATCTGTGAAAATGATATATCTGTACCAGTTTTATATATTTTAATGCATTTGTATGCAACATAATAAAAATCAATAAAAAAAATGAGATAAGATAAATGCAAAAGGAAACTTGGCGCATAAAGGTTTATTTTGCCACAAACTGACGTCAATGCGCAAAATCATTTTGGCTTAACTTTTAGATTAGCGTTTAAAAATATTCTTTAGTTCTTAATCATAATCATAAGATTCTTATGATTATGAAAAAATTCATTCTTATTAAGAATGTCGATGAGCGGAATTGATCTAAAGACTCCAAAATAGTGTTCTTTAGATACATTATTACAGGTAGTAAAAAGATTTTGAAAATTATATAAAAAAAAGAAAAGTTTCTTTAAATATCATAAAAACCTTAAGTAAAAAAAAATTATAACATTTAAAGATCTTGTTTGGGCATAATATGCTGACAAAACCATGCTAATTCCAAATAAAAGTATTCAAATATTTGTAAATCACCTTAACGACACCGAGGAGTATGTCAGAAAAGGACGTCACTTTATAGTTTTTTTATTTTAGTTTAATTAATCTAAAAAAATATGTAAATATATGTTTATAAGAAGATAATGTATAAGAATACTTTTAATTTTATTTTTCAAAGGTGTAGCAGCAGGTTTAAACATTATTGGGAAATTAAATAATTTTTGGGGGGGTTTAACTTGGTTGGGGGAGGGCAAGATTTTATGACGTCCTTTTCAAGGAAAAAGAACAACTGGTGATAAGGGGAGAGGGGGTCAAAAATTGGCTAAAACCGATGACGTCTTTTACGGATGGCTCCAAAACAATTTATTTATTACTATTGTAATAAAAACAATCTCTTATCCGTAAAAATAATACATCTTTATCAGTTTTATATATTTTAATGCATTTGTATGCAACATAATAAAAAATTAATAAAAAAATGTAAGATAAATGCAAAAGGAAACTTGACGCATAAAGGTTTATTTTGTTACAAACTAACGTATATGCGCAAAATCTTTTTGGCTTAACTTTTAGATTAGCGTTTAATTTTATTCTTTAGTTCTTAATCATAATCATAAGATTCTTATGATTATGAAAAAATTCATTCTTAAGAATGATTTTTTTTTTTAATGACAATGTTTTAGTGCTCTAAGATTTTCTTAGTTCCATTTGTAAAACGTTACATACAGATGTCAGTAAGTGTAAATGTCTTTAGCATATGTTGAGTTTCCAGGCCATGGTTGGCCAAAGAGACCGCCAGGTTTTATGTCGTGTCACTTGAACGAAACTTTTTTTATTTAAGAGTATTTGCTTTATAAAAATAGAATCTAGCATTTTTAAAATCCGAAAAAAGTGCTAAAGGTCACAAATGGGGCAAAAAGGTAAATTGAGGGGCCTGATGCTCATTTGACCATTTTAGACGCCCATTATAAAA